TACATGAATTATTTTTATTATTACCAGTGTGTGAGTATGAATTATTTTTATTATATCGAAGTTTTTGAGTATGAGATAATTGTAAATAAAATTCGATAAAAACAAAGAAGGTATAATTGAATAATGAATAAATATGCGAAAAGGGATTCAACGTATTAAATGATCGAATGATGAATGAGAATTAAAGGGTATACATCGAGATTTGTGTTAATATTTTAATTTTGTGTTTAACAATTGGATAAAATATCATTATTAACAATGTTCGTAAATTAAAAAGTTTGGAGCCGGTCGACATGATGTAAACCTAATGATAAAATCATTCAGAACTACTCGATTTGAGAAGTGATTGTCTTAAGTGTTCGAAGTGAAGCAAGAAATCCCGAAATGTCACAATAACATGCAATGACTTGTTCATTCTTTCCAAGATGTAAACATTATTACGTTACCATTAAAGTTTGCTTATTGGCTTCTTCCAGGTGTCGCAACCAATAATTATCTCATTGGCAGTGTTCGTCAGTCACTGTGTTCTGGATGACCTCATTCAATTTCCATAAATTACTATTTCATAACAGAAGGTTCCAATCGGACGATAAGTCTATTCCAATTGCCTCGCAATTAGGGATCTTCGCGATGAAAGGATCGATCTATGCATGTTTATTAAAGTGCTCGATAGTTCCTGCTTAACACTCTGCATAGATTATAAAAATAGATATACGACTATTGTGTAGTAACAACTGCGTGGAAGTTTCGCGTTACTATACTCGCAGCTTAAACGAGTTTAGTCACCCTCGGTTCGATAAGCTATGTAAACAAGGAACGTCGCTTTTGCCAACAAGGGTGACTTTATACATTTACAATTGTTGCGTGTTCTTTTTCAAACACACACAAACGCAGAGAGAAAGAAAGAGAGAGTGAATGTGTGTACTAAAAAATTAAAGAGAAATCCTTGACAAATAGGGGACAGCTAACCTTCTTACAATTACCTGTCCCAGATTTCGTCATTTCAAGTGATTTGTTATGGTTGCGAAGCTGCCTTTAAGAGAAAAGTAAATAAATTCAATCATCTTGGGAGAGGATATTACACTGCAAAAGAAATCTTCAAGGACTGCGACGCGCGGCCCAGTTTTCAAAACAGATTCCTACTTTTCTACAACAAACTTTGTTAGGGATTCCCCATTTGGGCTTCACGGCGGGGGCCAGGTACATAGGTCCTTAATGGCTAGGGTGTGGGCCTGTCACTCCAGTGACGGAAACGTTAGTTTTCGACCATGGTAAAACTCATGGGCCCCGTCGACCGTTTTATGGTGGTCCTCCGTAAAGGACTTATCCTTGATTTACGACCAGGCCGTTAGCGGGGTTGGGACTTGGACCACTCGGCGTAATTGCTTCCAGATGGGGTAGATTTCCAAATTTTCCCTTGAGGAGGAAACTCATCTGGAGGCGTTCGCAGTACGCTTTCCAAAAGTCCCAACCATCTTCATTTTAACCAATTAGCGCTCGGTTTTGGGCCTGCCGTGATTGGGCAGTTTTTCCTCGCCGCCCACCCTTAAGTAAAGGTAGGGATAACCGAGGTGACCTAGTGGACGTCACACGGTTATTCGACAGTCCTGATCCGTCCTGAGCCGTCAGTGGATACAAAGTGGACTAAAAATCGTGAAAACCGTCAACAACAAACAACTCGAGGACGTGGACAGAAGCGGTCGGCGTGGCCGGCGTTGTCAGGTGTTATCAGAAGCTGGTGGATTCGAAAACTGCGCCTGTGGCGCGAGCAGATCTCGGTGCCGTTTCGCATGCGCGTATTTATCGAGCGGCGTAGCCTCGGCGAGGCAGTCGCCGTGCGGAGTCGAGTGATCGCATCGGGTCCCGGTGACTACTCCGTTCGCCGTGGTAACGTAGACTGGCCAGTGCTAGAGAAGATAGTGAGCGTGAACGCGTCGTTATGGCCGCCTCGGTAGCGGTCCGATAAAACCGCCATTCATTTGCGTCCGATCATCCTGCGAAAGGAGCCCAGCGGGTGACGTAGCGGCTAGACGGAAGAGAGTAGGATGCCGGCGGATAGCCCGCGATGACCCATCGTCGTCTCGGCTCGATCAGCTACTCGCTCTTTGTCGGGTTCGCCCGAGCGTGATTCTGGCAGAGTGCTGGTGCGTCGTGAGTGGTGGTTGCGCGGCGACAGGCAGGCCCAGCGAGGATCGGGGCCTAGACCGGCAGCGGCCGACCAGCAACGACACCTTCCTTGGGCCAGCCGGGCATGGCTACTCTCGCGGGCAGCTCGACCTCGGGCCTCGTCAGGCCGCCGACCATGCTCGAGCAGCTCCTAGAAGAGATCAACTTCCAGAGAACCAAGGAGCTCAGGCAGATGCTCAAGGATGGTGAGTTGCGAACCCTCTACAGCTCTCTACAGCTCTCTGCAGCAGGTTCGATGGAAGCTCGACTGGTTCCTGGAGCGGTGTTTTAGGTGCTCGTGCGTCGGTTGGTTAGAGGCGTCGGCTCTAGAATCGTAGCACGCGAACCTCTTTTAGGTCTTCGTTTCTCATCTGGTTTCTTCCCTCTGCGTTCTCGAGTTTCAATTCATCTCGCAGGATTATTTGGACGCCCAGTGCTGGGACATCTCGATTCTAGAGGAGTGTACCGTGCGGTTGTGTACCGAGGGAACTAGAGTGGGGAGTTTAGGGTACGCGAATCTCTCGTAACTCTGCGTTTGATGGTTAGTCCCTTCGTCCTCCGTCCTCGAGCTTCAACTCGATAATAATCGGTGATAGTTCTTTAATAAGCTTCGATAATCTAATCACAGGTTTATCGTAGCTTTCCATTGCTGAGAGATTTCGATACTGGAAGAGCGTTGAGATTAGGGTGGAGAGTTTTAAGGTATACGAATCTCCTTGGAAGCTCTTCATGTTTCGCGAGTTTCCTGCTATTCTAGAGAACAGCTTCGAGCAGTTGCTCCTGGAAGGGTTTAATCCTGGAAGAATTCATTTCACAGTGGTACTTGGATGGTTTTTGCAGCGATGAAGTTGGAGGGTAGCGTTTAAAGTGCACGAATTCTTTGTTGTTCTTAGATTCTGATTGGATTTGTTCGATCCTGGTACGTATTCCTAATTTAGTTTCAGAAGGTTTTTATCTTGGAAGAATTGATGACAAAAAGGTCCAAGATACTTATTGCTTCTAGTGAAGTTTTAGGGTACTCGATTTAGAGTATGCTAATTCGCCTCTGGTCCTTTTTTAAGAGGTTTAGATTTATTATGGAGGACTGTTTAGATAGGGTGGGAAAATTTGTTTTGTAAAGCACATGGTGATTGTAACGCTGCCGCCCTCGATAAAGCTAGGGTGCAGCATTAGCGGTATATGAATCTCTAAATTTTTAATAGGCTTCGTTTTATCCTGGCGGAGAGCTTCGAGAGGGTGGATATTTAATGCTGGAAGGTTCTAACCCTAGGAAGATTTTGTTAGCGAGAGCTGCAGGGTGTACTGATAGGGTCGGGGAGTAGTGTTTAGGGTGTCTGTCATCCATTGATCTTCGATTTTGACAGGCTTCGTTTGATCCTGCTGGAATCTTTCATGAAATTATACGGAACTTTAAACTATAAGTAGCTCATAAATTATAAGTTGAATAAAAGTAAAAGTGTAAATAGTAAGCAAAGATAAAAAACTAAAATTAGTAGATTTAAATTCTTTGTAAATTTGATCATTTGGATTTATGCATTTATGATCAATATTAAGAGAAAAGAAAGATTATAAACATGTAATATAATGTCGATATATTCACTTTCGATCTACTGAATAATTAAAGGCAGAGTACAACTTCTAAGTTACTCCGATTTTTTGCAACGGATGCAGAATATTTTCATTTTGCAATTAAGATCCGCAGTCTAATGATTAACTATTTACTGAATATTTATCTGCATCCAGATTCAAATCCCTCAAAATTTATTATAGCTTTGACTATAGCTTCGATTATAGCTATTAAGCTTGACATAGACTGAATTTAAGATCCTAATTCTTGATAAATCCTTTTTTATCCAACGGAAGCATCAAACAGATCAATGGTAGAGCATTCAAACGCAGAATTTCGCCTGCTGATATTAGACGCCTAATACAATGTCTTCGTCGAATGCCTTAGCAGGAATATTCGATCAAAAGATGCGATCAATTTGATCGGCATCCTCGATATTGCTGCGAATTCTTTAAATTCCCGAATGGGAGGGGGGAGGGAGAGGAAGGAATATGGCCGAGGATACGGTGGTACTCCATTGATCGGCTGTATGCTTGATTGCTCGCATATAGAGGAACGCTAAACGTATACCGATTCAGACTAAATTAAACGAGTTCTCACATGGTCGCTAACTTTGGCATGTACAGTCATTGTTTACGATCTCCTTCCTACCAAAATGAGAAACAGTATTTGTTATCATTCATATAGACATTATGTACCGACATAAAGTATCACAAAATTGCTTACGCAATACATTATTGTGGTCGACCTTCAATGTACACGATAAAAACGCGACGAGCATGCATAATATTTATACTAAGTTGACTTTCGAATCTCGACATGTTTTGTAGACCATAGCCTCTCTCTCTCCCTCTCTCTCTCTCTCTTTCCCTCTCTCTCGTTCCCTCTCTTTCCCTCTCTTTCCCTCTCTCCCTCTTTCACTCTCTTTCCCTCTCTCTCGCTCACTCTCTTTCCCTCTCTCTCGCTCCCTCTCTTTCCCTCTCTCTCTCTCTCCCTCTCTCTCTCTCTCTCTCTCTGTCGCTCTCTTTCTCTTTTCCCTCCCCATCTCTCTTTCCCCTATCTCTTCTCTCTCTCTCTCTCTCTCTCACTCTCTCTCACAATTCATATTTTAATTAAAATTTCTATCAACACCAGAGTTAAGTCTAACCCTCTGAAAGCTAATCTACATAATCTCTTTAATATTAATCGCCAACCCCAGACGCAGAGAACAATCTCTCTCCTAATCAACACGCATACTCCATACGCATATATTATCCATCATTCGCATGAAAATTTCCGATAAGCCCGCGGGAAAGGCTGATTTAAAGGAAACTTCACAGAAAAATTAATCCTTACAACTCGAATGGTGACTGTGGGACAACGAACATTTTTATATCGTGTTCCAAAATAATTTTCATATTATCAATTTTGTTTAATATACTATATACTATATAGTATGCTATATGTATTATACTACATATATTATACTATTATATATCATTATAACAGTATTAAGTATTTATTATAACACTAATAGTATATATTATAATAGTATTAATTATTATTATGAGAATTATTTTATATGTATTATACTATATTATGCCATACCTAATGCGTATAGCACAGTATAAGACATATACAGCGACAAACTGAAGTTTTCGTACACCTCTTAAAATGCAAAAAACGTTTTCAAAATTGGACTAAATGACTTGAATCTTTCTTCAATCTTAGAGGCACTAGTTTATTGTACAATGATACAGTCCTTTTTTTAAGTACCTTTTTCTTTAATTTTGCTGCTACTTGGAAAAACAGAAAACATGAAATTTTTAAAAAATTAATTGCATTTTAAAAGATCTTTGAATACTTCAGTCCGTCACTGTAATATAGTATACGTACTATGTTAATACTGATTTATACCTAAGTCACATAAAATAGAAATGCTGCAAATCGTAGAAACTATTTTAAAAATTAAAATAGTTCCGACCGCATCGATTAATTCCGAATTTGACTGGGACATTGAGCCGTCCAGAAAGAAGTCGTTCAGACGATGACTCGTCGACGAAATCCTCGAGAGCGAGGCATCGAGTCCGCTTAGACCGAAAACAGTACGTGCTTCTCGCAGAAGGATTTAAGCGCGGTTAAGTCCGCTTCCCGCTTTCGGGGGAGTTTGCGAGCGTGCTCGAGCGGAGAGGGTGTGTTCCTGGGGGGGAGTGAGGCTTTTGTTTGGGAGACGCGAGGGTGATTTCGCGATCGATGAGCCGAGGGCGAAATGAGCGACGATCGGTTTGTATGCGAGTCCCTTTTTTACACGTGTATTCCCCCCCGTTTCACTTTGCCGCAAACCCTCCGCTAAATAATTCGACGCTGCGCTGCTCCGCCGGGCTCGTAAATTGGTTAGGACACGTCGTCGTCTGGGAGCCTCGGAAAAATTGTAGCCCACGGAAACGCGCCAGTTGCGCCTCGGAATTGCAAAACCGATGCTAATTTTCGATATCGTGTATCGCCGCAGGTCAATCTCATTTGTAACGGGTCAACGAATACGGGAATTTGCAGGTCGTGGAGACCAGACGTTTGCTGATCCTTAGCAAACGTGAACATTTTTAAATTGTTAGCGAACATGATAACTTGTAAATTGTCGACGGGCATAAAAATTTGTAAATTGTTGGCAGACATAAAAATTTGCAAATTGTTGGCAGGCATACAAATTTGTAAATTGTTGGCAGACGTAAAAATCTTTAAATTGTTGGCAGACATAAAAATTTGTAAATTGTTGGCAGACATAAAAGTTTGTAAATTTTTGGCAGGCATAAAACTTTGTAACTTGTTGGCAAACATCAAAATCTTTAAATTGTTGGCAGACATAAAAATTTGCAAATTGTTGGCAAACTTGGAAATCTTTTAACTGTTGGCAAACATGAAAATTTGTAGACTGAACGAATTGTACAATTTCAATTATAGAGATCAGTTAATTTTCTAAAATAAAATATAGCAGAAAAATCTCGTGGTAATAGATTTTCAAGCCGGTCGAGGAGTAAGTAGGAATTATGAAGGAGTGAGGAGAGGTGGATGATGAGGAATTATCAGAAGGGTGCTTAGGGCGCCAATTAAAATATGATGCCTGCAGCGAAATTGAAAAATTAATACAAATTGCAATCTGCACGAAATTAGAGTAATACTGAATATATAATTATCCATCATTAGCATCTAAAAGAGGGCGAATAAAAATATTATATATATTTGCAAGTACAAAATCAAGATTATGTCACATAATAGTCTGTCATGTGATAACTGCGATCATAAACGAACGTGTTTTATCTGCCACAAAATTGGAAAACGAGTACAACGTTAATATCTCAACACTTACTAAAACACAAAAACTTCTATAAAATTGTACCAAACGATTTGAATTTTTATGAGACGTTAACCTGACGAATTTACTAGACACCGATTAAAAAATTTGCTTTTGTTTAAATTTTATATAAATAAGTAAAGAAAACATTTCTTAAATATTTTGTCGTTATTCCAACCAATATTTTTACAAAAATCATTTTGGACACAGTCCGGTGAAGCGACCGATTTAACGTCGAAAAGGAATTCAAATCGTTTGACCAAATTATAAAAAAAGTTGTCGCATTTTTGAACGTGTCAGAATATTAACGT